AGTCTTGGCAATTTCAGAATACAATCTACTTATTTAGAATTAAAATCCAGTGTTGAAAGAATTTTCCTTTACAATAAGAAATGTTATAATACCTCAATTAAAAACATACTCAGATTAAACAAATACACTTTAAGTATCAAAAGAAACAGAACCATTGTGTCGAATTTGTTGCATTGTATATTACATGGCTTTGTTATATTTCCAGCATTAACTTGTTAGCATAATTAATGTGTTGCAGCAGGTTGAGGTGCGCCTTGTTTTAGTCTCATTTACCAATCTTATAAAAATAGAGGCTCCAATCCTTGGTCCACAAATCGAAGCCAGGCGTTGGAAAGGTTGCTAAAGACGCACAAAGAAGCAACATTTAAGGCTGAATAATAATGCAATAACTTTCTAGCCTGTTGTATGCTATTTTCGATAATATAACTGAGCTTTGCACAGTCTGTTGTGCTATTATCTTCATTTACAAACTGGTCACTTTCAAGAACAACTAAATTATTTTTGAACTATAGTTGGTAGTCAGTATAAAAGGTAATATGAGCAGTTTTGATCAATCTGGAACCCGGATCCTCAACAACAGAACAGCAATCCTGCTGCTGCCTCAGCTCTAGTGGAGTTTTATAGGATTAGAGTGTAGCTGTATTAGTGTGAAGTATTTGAGCTTTCCAAAAGACATGCAATGTGCCAGGAAATATGAATATCTTCTGCCATCTGATACCTTTTTTTGAGTACATTTAGGGAGCAACATCCATTCCTAGTGTCAGGCATGGCGGTTTTTTCTTTTTGTAGTTCATGTGTACAATTCTATACAAACATCAGCATTTTTCTTGCAGTCTGGGATGAGTTCAAAGGATTTAAGAGCTTGAAAGTCCACTGACCAAAATGGGTTGTGAATGCAACATGAGATTTCAGCAGATTCTCTCACCTCCTCATGACCCCGTCCATCAGTCATCAGTCATCAGCAGAGGGTTAAAGTGTGGGCCTAATGACTGCACATCCTCTCTCCTGCTGATGGTGCGCCACAAACCTGCCCTCACAAACTGAACAATTGGTTCATTTGACCTCCGGGACATGAACTTGCTCATCTCGTTCACACCCATCAGTGCATCTGTACATCACCCCTACCTTCTGCTGCTTGTTACGCACTGACTGATGTGCATCATGACACAAGCTGAGGGGCAGTGAGCCACATTCCTGACACAACCTAACACAGGAGGTAATAACTTTGTATGGAAGCTCAGTGCTGACACCTACAGGCTAGCAGATGTATAGCATAACAAGGTAGCAACACTATACTGTACTACACTACCAAATGAGCCAACAAGTTATGTGTCCCGCTTGATGAATATAAATGTAATTAATATTCTAAGCACATTGTCAAATATTGTTTATATGGAATGATCCATCATAATCAATAGCATCCAATTTCAAACTTTGTAAATGTTTTACACTTCCACCTCCCCAGAAAACAATGATTAGTGAGACCAGCTACACATGGACACCCTCTGGTGGCTTGTGTGTGGCATGACAAGACCAAACTGCTAGGGCCTTCATAAAAAAAGCTGATTTTATTTGGAAAGCACCTGTCAAACACAGTGCTAATGCAACTTTGTGTAAGTCCAGGAAATGCATTACAAAAATATCACATTTAAAACACAATAAATTAAAGAAACAACAAAAATGAAATGATCTAACATTTTTTTGGGATGAAATTGTATATTTGATAATAAAAGACTACAAATGCAGATACTGTTGTAGCCACATTCAAAACCCATCAGGTTCACAATGTCATTGTTCTTACGTGTTTTTACCACTTGTAAAACTGACAGCTTTTTGCTTTTTTACCATTGATGCTTTTCTACTTCAATCGTACAGTTTGCTTGCTACTACTCATATTGCTAATCTACTACATGTAGATTGTGCAATATGAAAGAAAAGTTAAATGTATGGTAAATGGATTGCATTTATAAAGCACTTTTCCAGTCTTTACGACCCCTCTGGCACAAACCATAATACTGGTCAGCATTCACCAATTCACACACAATCATACAGAGACAGAGGCTGCCATACAAGGAGCCCCTGCTCAAGGAACCTAACAATCACACACCAATGGTCACGCCATATGGAGCAACTTGGGGTTAAGTATCTTGCCCAAGGATAAATCTAGTTCACTCAAGGTGCTGGGAATCGAACCACTGACTATCTACGTAATCGGCAGAGTGGTGCCAGTTGCAAGCTCTAGCACAAGTGCATCATTGCTGCACAAAGAGGATGCCATCATGTGTTTATAAAAACATACTTTAAAAAAAAAACTGAATTAATGATATAGAAACTTCTTTCCATAGTGGGGATGGTTTTAGCCCCAGTGTCTTCTGTCATTAGTAGCACAACAGCTTTTAGTTTTTCTTTCAGAATGTCCATACATTTCAGTTAAAGGAGCCCTTTTATGCTGTTTTGGGTTTGTTCCTTTACTGTAGTGTGGTATAGGTTTTTGTGCATGTAAATGGTCTTCAAAAGCTAAAATCCCCAAATTCCCTCCAGAGAGAGTTTCTCTCCCACACACTCCCCCATGCATATGGGTATAAACAAAATGTTTTTTTTTAGCTGTACATGTCAGAATCAGAATACCTGTATTGGTCCCACAGAGGGGAAATGTACGTTGTTACAGCAGAAAAAGAGCCACAGACAGCTTAATGTTACATGTGCAACATATGTACATGTCTAGACATGATGGTTAAGGTTTGACATTGACCTCAAATGTTAAGATGTTAGGATAGGTGGTCTGGTAACGGGTTAAGTGAGAGTTTTTTGCAGTTTTCCCAGGGTTACCTTTCCGACACCCCAGACAAGCCATGACTGTGTACATTTTTCATGGGAGAGTGCATGGGTCAGTATTAGTGATACATTTGGGCAGAATGCAGGTAAAATAAATGGCCTCATTCAGCCCACATTTGTCAATGTTCCCTTGAGACAGACACCTGTGGGTCTTTGAAGGATCATAAGGGATCTCAAAACAGTAAAGAGGGAAACAGCATGATTATGGATGGTGCACATATGGAACAGAAGCCATTGTGTGCCCTAAAACGTTTGCAAGATTTGCACATACAAGCACCTGCAATATATAAGCCTAAATTAAAAAAGGGATCAGAAGTCATAATCTTAGCCTATATTCAATGAAGGTAAAGGTATAGAACATGAATATTATCACAGGATACATATAACATCACTGTGATACTGTAATATGCAATTACAAAGCCAGTGGGAATGTTACCATCAGAGGCAGAAGAAGAGTGAATTATAAACATTGCTCAATGTATTTTGCACCTCTAAAGCCCCGCCAGCTGGTAGTGTGTACATGCAGTATGTTGTGTGTGTGCTGAGGGGGAGAGGATATCATATGGAGCCAATTTTAGGAGGCAAAGGATGAACCAATTTCCAGTCTAGATTGAATTTGCATTGCAGACACAGGGTTTTAGGTGTTTAATAAGAAGTGATACCTCTGTCTGTTCAAATGACTTGCTTTATCTGAAAGAAGAGCACTGCCTCTCAGTAAAGCTGGCTTCTTCCCTGGTGCAGGCTACTGCCACCCGATAAACCCCACATCATATAAAAGCAGAACACTCTGAATGAATGAGAGATGTGGATGCTGAGCCTGTATTCGGCCATCTTTGACAGTTCATGCTAATTTTACGCACAAATCTACGTTGATGAAACCGGCAGTGTGTTGTGTTGTGTTGTGTTGAACCTGTGAGCATCTCTGATGTGGCGCATCTCAACTGCGTCAAGGGAAATATGCTGAGACAGATCGGACAGGAAAAGAAGACATTGGGTTTTTCAAAATAAAATCAAGACATTTGTGGCTTTGAAGAACTTGATTATTATCTAATAAAACAGAAGGAATTTACATCAATTTGATATGCAAATACAATGTGACAAAGAACACAATTACATCCAGTAATTCACAAGTTAATAGACACATATATATATACAGTGTACATATGAGCAAACCAAACTGGTAAATAATTCAAAGTGATTTTAAAGGAGCTATGACTATAAAGGTATAAAGATCATTCAACTCTTCGTCTTAACATTTTTTTTCAAATGCAATATTGCTTGGATCCTAGTGTGACTTATCTGCGTTTTTCATTAATTCAGTGGAACACATTTCTTTATTTCTTTCTATATGTAAAGAAAAACAACATATTTTAGTTTAAAATTGGGTATCATTAGGAGCATTACAAAGGCAAGGCAAGGCAAGGCAAGGCAAGGCAAGTTTATTTATATAGCACTTTTCAACACAAGGCAATTCAAAGTGCTTACAAAGGTAAAATTCATTTCAAAATAAAGATCGATAGTTTAAGATGCGCACAGATTTTCTTTTAAAACATTACTATGGGGTCATAGTACACTTGTATTGTTGGTCTATACGTTTCTGCATACTGCATCCTGTTTATAAAAAGGCATGTTTTTATTTGATTTTTAAAACACTGAATAGAGGGCACATTTCTAGAGAAAACATATTGGTTCCTTATTTTCTAAGGTTATATTGTTATCTTTTCTTACACAGGATATACTCATAAAAGCCATCTTATTGATATTTTTTTCCTGTATTTATTTGAATTATTGAGTTAATCCAAATGTATTGTCATAATCAGAATATCTTTATCGTCTTCAAACATATAGGTATTGTATGATATCGTTGATATCTCTCTCTGAAGTAATACAAATAGACACAAATAAATAAAAGCAGAGGTAGCAGCAATGACGATGCACTGCAATAATTCAATTCAATGTTAATGTACATATTACACATTTTACAGACTATAACATTGAAATATAACAAAACTAAATTGGATACAACTGTGTCTTCCTAAATGCTAAAAGTAATAATAGCTGGGAAAAAAATAGACATCAATATTGATTATGAATTATAATTAATTCACAAAGGCTTTTACGTCAACAGCAGGGAGCGGAAGTCCTGCCTCTGTGTATTCCTCCTGGCTTCACGGCGGTGCGCATCTCACCGACCGGGAATACCGATTTCTGAACATTTCGGCCTTTTCCCCCGCTGCACAGTAAGCTGTGTTTTCCTGCGAGCTACAAGGGGAGAGGGTTACCGGCGGAGAGGGGGCATTGTACCGGGCAGGGTTCTGACAGAGGGAGATGAAACTCATCCAGAAGGAACCGTGTTTGTTTTGTATGGCGAAATGAGGCAGGGGGTGGAGAGACGCCACAGAGACGCTGGGCTCCGGCCAAACATCTCCGCATTTTAGCACTTATTCGATGCTCGGGATTTGCATTGCATTGCATTTGCTGCATCGTTGATCGGCCATATTTCTGCAAAGTGCATGGTGGAAAATGCAACTTGTTTGAGGACATCCCCCCTCCAGATCCCCGTTGCTGCCATGACAGGCAGATGTCTCATCTCGACCGCGGCTCGGCCGGCTGGAGAAGAGGCAGATTGATTCGGGACGGTGGGTCGCATCTGCGGATGTTATTCGGTCTGTGGAGCCTGTGATTATCATCCGCGCAAACACACCTTGATTCTCACTCAGGGAAAGAGGAGAGAGAAAACAACATGTCTTCTCGGTCTGCATTACCGTCTGGAAACGACAGGAGTACTGGAGACCATGTAAGTGCATTACAGCCTATAGCCTCCGATGGTGTGCATGCATAAGACAAAATGTGCATCCCTGAAATGTTCTCCTCATATATGTGGGATTTTGCATTCACGGGGTGTGTTCTCCATGTAGGGTCATGGAGCTAATTTCCCCATTAGGTGGAAGGATTCTGCAGGTGATATTGTGTGGATATTTGAGCAGGATCTTTGAAAATGGGCTAACCTTGAGTGTCTGCGCAGGCAAGAGATGATGGCAGGCTAACAGCCCGGAATGAATCCATCCGCATACTATAACACTCAGCGGATATGCGCAGAAAGCCTGAAAACCAGCCGTCACCTCTGATTATAAGGCTGTGGAGAGTGATGTCACATTATAATGCCAGCTGCTGCTGCTGCCTCAATATGTATAACAGTGTGCGTCTCCAGAAAATGGATGGGTGGGACAAGAGCCCAAAATAAATGTATAGAGAAAATGTGTGGTTGGTATGAAACGGGGATTACTGCGTAAAATGATGTGCAGTCCATTGCTGCGCAGCCTACAAAGCGCCCAACCCCAGAGCAGTGGGTGTCAGACAGCGCCATACATCCAGTACAGTGGAGAACAGTAGAGGCCTCTAATAGACACAGACGCAGAGGATATGTTCATGGGAGAAACACAGAATGTAAGAATGTTGCACCATGATCTATATCTCTCTCTATCTATCATTTGCACCATGATCTATCTATCCATCTATCTAATTATCTCAAAATGGTGACATGAAGGCTTGGCATGATGGCATTTATCTCCCTTAAACACTTCTGGCAAGGCTCCCCCATCTGTCTGTTAGCAGCACAGAGGGATGGTTAAGCCAGTTGGTGTGTGTGTGTGTGTGTGTGTGTGTGTGTGTGTGTGTGTGTGTGTGTGTGTGTGTTTAACTGTGAGTGTGTGTGTGACTGTAACTTTAACGGTGTGTTTGTGTAACTGTAACTGTGTGTGTGTTTGTGTAACTGTAACTGGGTGTGTGTGTAACTGTAACTGGGTGTGTGTGTAACTGTAACTGGGTGTGTGTGTAACTGTAACTGGGTGTGTGTGTGTAACTGTAACTGGGTGTGCATAAGTGTGTGAGCTTACGCTGTGCATGATTGATTATGAATGCAGAGCCGTTCCTTCCATTAAGATGGATCTCGATCTGCTGTCATCACTCCACAATTAAGCGATGATGACAGATGAAATGTTGTGCTGCCATGTTGGCACAGGTGAGGCGTGCACTTGGTGAATGAATGAGCTGCTGCCACCCATCAGAGCTGGTGGCTGGGAGAGAGAGGGGCCACATTGGCTCTAGGTGGGGCATGAGGAACAGGAATGGAAGCATGTGAAGGAGGGTGAAGGTGGGCCTTAAGGCTGTGTGTGTGTGTGTGTGTGTGTGTGTGTGTGTGTGTGTGTGTGTGTGTGTGTGTGTGTGTGTGTGTGTGTGTGTGTGTGTGTGTGTGTGTGTGTGTGTGTGTGTGTGTGTGTGTGTGTGTGTGTGTGTGTGTGTGTGTGTGTGTGTGTGTGTGTGTGTGTGTGTGTGTGTGTGTGTGTGTGTGTGTGTGTGTGTGTGTGTGTGTGTGTGTGTGTGTGTTGCTGGGAGCAAGATGGCATGCTGGGGGGATGGAGGTGTGATGCCTTAGGGCCAGGGACCACTGTGCCGGCATCTGCTCCTTTTTTTACTCCTATATTCCTCTCTCTTCTCTTATTCCCATTTTCTTTCTGATATCCTGGTTTCTCGCTCTCCTGGTATTTATTTGTATTTATTTATTACCCCCACCATGTATTCGCTGTCTTTCCTCTGCATCGTTCCCTGGTTTGTCACATGACAAGAAGCTGTTTCATACTCTCACACATCCAGCTTTGTTTGTGGGATTGCACACTGTTGTCCTCCATTTGTCATCTGCTCCTGGTTTCCTGGAAGAAAATGATCTGTGACTCCAATGTTCTGATGCGATGCAGCAGCAGTAGCAGCATTAGCAGTAGCAGTAGTACAGTTGTGTAATGTAACTAAGTAGATTTACTCAAGTACTATAGTTAGTTAATTTTGAGGGACTTTTTTTATTTACTTGACTTACAATGTTGTGCTACTTCGTTCTTATACAATTCTACAATTCAGAGGTAAATGGTGTACTTCTACTCCACTACATGTATTTAATCCCTTCAGTTACTTCACAGATGTGGATGAATGATGTGAAATATAACCAAGTGTTAAATCAGACTTTAGTTCCACCTGGAGTAAATCCACCAGCTACCCTGCAGTATACAAAGTCATTCAAACTAGCTGCACCTTTACCAGCTTTGAGAACACTTTCATGATCAATCATTATAAAACACATCATATATATTATTCTGAAATGGACCAATCAAACAATCATTACTTTTACTTTGGGATATTTTGATGCTTATACTTTTGTACTTTTACTTGAGAAACATTTTGATTGCAGGACCTTTCCTTGTAACGGAGTATTTTAGAGTCAGCAGTGGCTCAGTCTGTAGGGACTTAGTATTGGAACCGAAGGGTCGCAGGTTCACGTCCCGTTCGGACCAAAAAATAAGAATATGGAGTGATAGCTGGAGAGGTGCCAGTTCACCTCCAAAGCCACTTGAGCAGAGCACCTAACCTCAAAACTGCTCCCTTGGTGCCGGGTACCTGGCAGCCTCTCTGCTCTGCCACCTCTCCTATCTGCATGTGGTTGTGTGTGTGCATGTATATCCTCCCCTGTGTGTGTAATGTGTGTAAACACAACATAGTAAGGGATTAATAAAGTGTATCTTCTTCTTCTTACACTCTGGAATTTTACTTTTACTTAAGAACAAGATCGGTGTACTCCTCTCACCTCTGTAGTAGCAGTAATTGTAGCAGGAAACTGTTTTACAGAGCTGTGAATACTAACTCAGGTTGCAGTGATAAACCTGTATACTCTGTCATATTAAACGAGGACATCTTCCAGCAGAAAGTAGACCTCCAGAAAACATGATCATGATGGAAACAACATGTTCCTGTTCTGAACAGCAGCTGCTAAATCCCAAATGAAGGGCATGTTTTCAAATGTATTTCAAAGTTGCTTTGTTGTTGAAGAAAAAGGAAAATAAGGGTAAAACAAAACCCAGAGACAGGTGGAGCTAACACAGGTCATTTAGCTTCTGAAGACCATGAGGGCTCCATGGTGGGAACAGGTAGTCCTGGATCTGCTTTGGAAGCCTGAAGCCTTTCTCCATGTTATATTGGTGTTGGCACACAGGAAGTGAACCAGGCGTAAAGGCTCGTTCTTGTAGTGGCCAAACATCAACTGACACTTGAATAGTGATTTAAATCATTAGGGCCTAAAAGCTGTAAAATGCGCTAAATCCAGACTTGACATGTTTCATTGGATTGGAGGCAGGGCTAGAGGAAAATGCAAGTGTGCATGCTATATGAGTCCTCAGATAATCAAGGTATTTTTGTACTAAAGCCAGTCCAATTAGGCTTTATGCGCCACTGGGCAACATTTCTAGGAATGAATGGGGCCCCACCTCCAGCGCTGTATCCAGTTCTCCTTATACATCCATAGTTGGCACAGTGAGTGACCATCCTCACCACTTTCCTCTCCTCTCTTTAACACCTCCTCTCCCTTCTCATTTTCTTTTCTTCCAGCATGTGTCGCTGGGGGCCAGTCGCTCAGACAAGGCCACCAGCCAGTCCAGCCGCTCGCTGGGGGCCCGGAGCAGGATCTCCATCGCCTCCTGCTCCGACGAGCAGCCGCACGTCGGCAACTACCGCCTGCTCAAGACCATCGGCAAGGGAAACTTTGCCAAGGTCAAGCTGGCCCGCCACATCCTGACAGGCAAGGAGGTGAGACATGGGGCAGCAGAGGTGCATGGTGGGAGGAGGAGATGGATGGGTGGAGGATGGATGATGCTGGCAGGGGGAGGAAAGGTGACGGTGTCATACAGATGGGATTTGGTCCAGCAATAAATCTGCTCCATTTTAGTTTTCAATATATTCAAAACAAGTAGAAGTCTTTTTTATTTGTTATTCTCCTTAATTACACATTTTCCTACTCAAAATATTTTTGGGAAAAGTCAGCATACTTTTAAATTCTCTGGAGATATCCTGACAGCAGAAGTAACCAAACAAATTATAATAAGAGAAATTATTTAAATTCACTGAAATTATATAAAAATGCATAAATGGGTAGCACATGTGTATACGTTATGGCTAATTGCTTTTTATTGTTAAATACGCCATTAAATACAACTTTATAGATCAGTTATGAACAATAATAGCATAACTGTACAATTACCTAATTTTGTATATGTAAATGTGGTTTGATAAATGGCTTATAGCTAAAGCTTGAGTAAATGATTCATTTGTAAAGCTGTTCATAAAAGATGGCAAAGATAGGGTAGGGTATGTAGAGGTGTTCATTGGATCCTGAATGATTAAGCAAAGCTGATGTTCACGTGTTTCCTTTTCCTCATCAAAAACCTGCTTTGACATCTCTTCCAGGTTGCAATAAAAATCATTGACAAAACTCAGTTGAACCCAACCAGCCTTCAAAAGGTGAGTTCTCCTCTTTTGATACTGATATGAAGTTCATGCTCTACTGTCTGACGCTATCTGCAGAAGCTGGGCATCAGAACTGTGAACAGTTTGCTCCTTATTATGTAATTCAACAAAATCCCGACATGCCAGTGGGGACTTGGAGAGGTTCAGGTCGATCCTCAGCTGCTTCCTCCTCGGAGAGGGCAGGCATGAGAGAGCAGCTGATGGAGAGGGGTGATGCTGTTTGGCAGGTGCTAGGGACTGGGAGGAGACCCCCGCTCCAGAGATCCTCTCACGTCTTTCTCCGGAATAATCTCTGCCCTGAGAGCGGGGTGACTCACGTCGGAAACATGGTCACCCAGCTAAACCTTTTCTGTGTTTGGGGTTATTAATGTTTCTTTCCAACACATTGGGGATAGCCATGAATGCTGTGATGCTAAGAAGGGCTTTTGATTGACTGGATTTGTATTTCCTGCTGGTCAGCAAGTTGTGTGTTTAGAGTGGTGGACGCTTCAAGTTTGTTGTGCATGAAGGTCAGCGGCATAACAGTGGACACTTTGGTTTCTCTAGATATCAAGGGCAACCTCAGGTACGTTTCATTTCATTTCAGGATCTGGAATGGCAAACATCAGTAGATCTTGGTTGGTAGACTTGCAGACCCAAATCATAGACATCATAAATCACAGGTTGATCACATGCTTAGATATCGCCACTTTATATCCCGAGCACAACCATCTTGATCACACACATTCAGGTTAAGAAGTGTCTTGTGGTTAGGGAATGTGTATAAAGACATAGGGAGACAAAGGATGCAGAGACATGCAATCAACCCGTCTTTGCCCATAATGCTGCTTAAATGCACATATGGGCTAAAGTGTCTTCCTTCCCTTTCTCTCTAATCTCCTTTCCTCCCTCAGCATCATGAGCTACTCTGCCTGTGGGCAATAAGGGAAAAGACCAGAAGGATCAAATCAGGGCTGAACAAATATTTGATGTGTCTATATTTGTGATTTAGTTTTGAAGATATCTGTATGTTTTGTTACACAGATTAAAAAGATGTATAAAATAGAAGGGGCATATCAGAACTTCTGCCCCCCCTAAAGAATATAGCTAAGGGAAATAGCCTTTAGCCCTATAGTTATGTCATACATATTATGAAAATAGTGTAGTCCCCATTGTTACTATTATTGACTTTACTGTGGCACAAAAGCTTTGCCCAGAGAAAATAGAGATTACAGATGACGATCCTTTTGATCCTATTTATTTTATTTTTACCTTTTTGACTTTTTATAAATGGTCTTTTCATCATTTCTGCATGCAATGATAGCGATGACCTTGGGTTGTCACAGAATTCTCAAGGCTATACTACAACTTCTCATTGTTTCCCCAAAGCCTCCGTTGCCCCTCTGAGACTTTGACTCATCGTGTTTCTTTTGGTTATAGCATGAAAGAAAATACATATCTGTGCCCTGTACCTGGCTGGAATATTAGATGCATTGTAGGAAAACTATAATCCCAATGAATATGTTATCTAGGGCTCTGCCATATGGAGCATATCGATTTCCTACATTATTTACATGGAAAGATGTTTCATCAGTAATGTGGGTATAATGACTAAGGTGGTAAAGACAAACAGCGTTGGGAAGATTACATGAAATATGTATTAGCACTAGTTACCTGGAGAAAAACAAGTATTCAGTAACCTAATCTAAGTATCAAAATACAAAAATAATGTGACCTGAACACCTGATTACTTTCCATTACTTTTGGATTTCAGAACAGTCCAGTTTACAGAGAAGACATAACATTTAACAACAAACACTATATGCTCTTTTTAGGTTGTTACTAACATTGTTGTCCTGCTAGTAATCCCAATCTTTTGAAATGTAACGGTCATTTGAAGACATCTTTTTTTATGTATAAGGGAGTACAGTAACCTATTTATTTCATCCTGATTAAATAATCCAGTTACATGCAATTCATTACACCCCAAGCCTGAAGAAAAATAATACAACACAGAAATCCCTTTTCCGTAAAACAGCCTTAAAAACCAAGAAAAGACAAACATTTTTCAATATCATGATATCCAAAATATAACATGGTATCTAGTCTAATTTTAGGATATTGTTCAAATATATGGATATCTTGCTCGGTGCTTTTCTTGGTTCGGTTGCTGCTGTGAAAGACAATGGTGCAATATTTAGGCCAGGATTGAGGAGAGAGGCTGGGATTGGCCCCTGATTGGAGAGAATACTCTACAATTGGCCGCTCATGATAGCGGGCTTCTTTACGTACCCGTGGGCTAGAGCAAATCCTTAGTACCGAAGACATGAAAGAGCCCATATTAGCATAATCTGTCATATATGTAGAGGGGAGAAGGAAAGAGGGAGATGCGTTGTATAGGGGTGGGCAAGAGAGGGGGAGGAATAAGGGAGGTAAAATCACAGATGTGAAATATAAATCCAACATACGTTTAGAAGAAATAGCAGGAAACAGGAGATTTTCATACTGGTCTACTGATGTCTGAACAAAATCAAATATGTGTAATTTAGAAATTAGAGTTACTTTTGAATATCATATTAATTAATACATAAAACTGACATTTTAACACAATTTGTTTTATTCTGTGGGGATACATTAAAGCCAGCCTTATTGCCACAGAGCACGTGTCCATCCTTGTCAGCTTTATTCTAGGCTTGCTATTTATTGGCGGTTATTAAGGGTGACCGGGTCGGACTCGTTGCCGGGGGATTGTTTATTGTTTTGACGGATCTGACCGCTCAGCCCTGCCGTGACGTGCAGCGGATTAAATAGACGCCCGGATGATGAGCATATCCCAAGATTCCCCTCTGGCACAGCTGGAGAAGCTGGGAAAGAGCCCGGTCTTAATACCTGGGTCGCCACGGCAACAGTGACGTTGGGGCACTGCTAGAGGAGAAGACTGCGATGGAGGGATTGAATGAAGGAGGAGGGAGGCGCATTGGAGACAGGAGAGGATTGAGAGAAGGGGATATAGAGGCGTGTCGCACCATCCTTCCTCCAGTTGACCGTGTGGAGGAGAGTCACTGGGATTCAGCCATGGCCTTTTGTTAAAGGAGGGGTATACACTAGAACCAAGGAGAGCATTAGGACACAATCCTCTGCTCTGCTCTAACAAACTCTGAGTAATTAAATTAAGATTAAGACAGATTCATCTGTATAAATCAATGCCCTGATTGAGGTTCATCACATTTGTGTGGGGTATAATTCTTGTTGGTTTTCGTCCCCTCTGCAAGTTGTCATCTTGATGAGCCAGAAAGTCCAAGTGTGATTTTTAAGGCAAAAGTTTAAAGAGGCTCTATTGTGCCTTTGGGGGTTTTCTCTTCCCTGTAGTGCGCTTTTAAAGGTTTGTGTGCATGTAAATGGTCTGCAAAGGCTAAAAAAAAAAAATTCAGAGCAGACTGGGCTCTGGTTTCAGACAGAGGGTGAAAAGAGGTGCTGCAGAACAGGCAGTGTGAGAAAAATCAAGAGCTCTTTGAACATTAAAGCAAGGAGACATGTCACAGTAGAGACACTACATACTGATATGAACCTGAAAATGAGCATTAAAGGTCCCATGTCATGCTTTTCTGGTTATTACCATAGACTGTAAATATAAATGGACGTAGTGTCCGTGACGTCACCCATAGGATTCTGCAGAGTTGCCGTGAAGCCCTTAGTAGGCGGAGTCTGCCACTAACGGCTCGACTGTGACGTCAGAGTCTAATCCCGCCTGCTCCAAATAAGGGCAAAGAGGCGGAGCCGAGGCGGGACCTGCTGCCTCCGAACTGGAAGTAAACAGAGCTAGCTCAGGCTAAGATGCTAAGCTAACATGAAATACATGCATACCAAGTTACTGCTAACAGTGTAGTTCCCCTATATAAACGTTACATTCATAATCAAATGAGACAATCTGCAAGAGAATTAGCTATATTTTGTTATTCTCAATGCTTGTCATTCACACGTTGAGAAAAGACGGACTCCACCACCCGGACCTAACGGAGCCGCAGTGGGCTAGCTCCGGGACGCCGGCTGGAGCTAGCCCCCTGCGGCTCCGTTAGCTCCGGCGGCCACCACTGGGATAATTGGGTCCCCTATTAACACTTGCTCCCGTTTAGCATTATGGGCGTCATAGCCATAGACTATAAAAGTCTTACCCAAGGCTGAATCATAAACTAAAATGTATATGTATGTATAAAGGGTTACGTTCTTAGCTGGCTAATAAGTAGCAAGCTAAGCTACCAAGCACACAAACACCTGCGAACGGGGTTAACATGTATAATATTATCATTTTAGACTTCTTGGAAGTTCTGTTAGTACATTCAAGCGCACAACACAACATTTTAATTGTCTGGTATTTGTAACAATATTCCCTAAAAGGCACAATCACCACGAACACGGCTAAAGGGTCAAGTACAGTAACTACAACTAACTAACGTTGTAGCCTCTATGGTTGTAGCCTAGCAGAGTGGACAAGTTGCTGTTAGCTGACAGTGAGGCATGTACATGTCCATCAAAGTGACCACGCCCTAATTTATGCAAAAGATTTAAGGCTTAATATTAATTAAACAGATGAGTTGAGAAAAAATTCACCCCCCACACAGCAGTCATGAAGGGGGAATCTAACTATACTGAGAATATGGTTTTTTGAACCACGATGTAAACATGTTTATTTCTGCTGTAAAGTTGGGCATTTTAACATGGGGCTCTATGGAAATTGCTCCCTTCTGCATCCTGCTCCTACTGGCCACTAGATGAACTGCAGTGTGTGGCACTTCCGTATTGGCGTCCCGGCTCTTCCCCAGAGTTTGCCGCTTGGTTATTACCCGTCCCCTTGTGTGTTATGAAGGTTTTTATGCATGTAAACGGTGTGCAGAGTCAAAACCCTCAAAGTACACCCTGTAGCAAGTAAAACTCTAAAGCAGAAAATACCTCCCCAAAACGCCTCGTTGGAGATACGTCATTGTCCATTTGATTCTTCCGGGTACGCATGATGTCAACCGTACCCGGAACTAAATGGACCAATCCGTGGAGCCGTTACGTTACGTCCACGGAGCCGTTACGTTAAGCCCCCGCTGATTGGTCCAAATTGACCAATCCACGGACTTCCTCACACACTCAGTGCAAGCAGCTCTGCTGATTTCTCCTCCCTGGCTGCAGGCTGATAACAGACAGTTGGGATCGCGGCAAAATTCTCTCTGCAGACCCATTCTCACAGCGTTTATCAACCTTTTTCTTACTCAATATCAAGCCACACTTATTGTTTTTACTTCGGCTGTGACTTTGTGTGTGCTCAGGGTGAGTTTGGCTGTGTTTCGCTGTGTATCGCTAAACAAGGAAACAACACCTCCACGGAGTTTAGCGCGATTCACAACGTCCCGACCAATCAGAGCACACTGTGCTCACAGGGAGGGTGGGGGCTGGAGCTATTGGAGCTACAACGAGCCGTTAAAGGCAGAGAGTGAAATTCAGTGAATACACGTAGTTTACAGAGATGCTGTTTGAGAAACCAATGTGAGTTTGGAAAATTGCACAATATAAATCTATTCTAGTAGACCTCAACAATGGAATTATGATCAGTGGAAATGGCCATGACACGGGACCTTTAAGTCCTCTATAAATGTGTCTGCTTGTACCTTTCCACCCTGATCTCATAGTGAGCTATAAAGACTATAATAAACAACGAAGGCACTGGGCCATTTCATGTAATCTTTAAAGTGTACTGTACTCTTCCGATTTAGCTTTCAATTCCTGTCCAGAATCATGGACAGTTAAAAAAAGGAACATCAATGCAACAAATCCACATAGCTGTTCTTTTTTGTTTCACACCTCGTAGTTTCTTGTCAAAATCACCTACATTCCCCTCAATGCAACTGAACAGCTAACGGTTCGGCAGAGATTCAGGTTTGCTATGCTAGTAGCCGTTAATGTAGCCTGAGGAGATAAACAGTATTGAAACTAAAAATGTCCAGATCTGTTTTTATTTGCAGACGTCTTCACACCCCACCAGCACTGACTCCAGTGACATCACTTGAGGACATTTATCCACATTTTGTCAGCTTCATCTGGAGACATAAAATGCTTTTCTACAGATGTTGCACGTATGTGTAGTCCTCCCCACATCCTGGAGAAACTGGAGACTTTGATATGTCAAATTCTATAACCGGCAAGCTCTCTGATTGGTCAATAGGCGTGTTTGATTCCACGATCAAAGAACGGTCAAATAGAACGTGCCTTTTCACAACAAGTCAGTATCCCTCCGCGTCTGAGAAAAACGGTATACCCTTGGCCTGCTTTTCGAACTGGAACAAGAAAGCGGCGGAGAAGTAACGGGGCAGAAACCCTCCTTTTTACGTTACGAAACAAACTTCCAAACATAATATGGAAACATTTAAGATGAACTTCAACCTCCGGGGGGGTCTTACTGTGGAGGACTGGATTGAGGAGTGCCTAGAAAAAAAAGCACCTAAACGACAACATGCAGAGCTACGTGAAGAGCAGGTAGACCAACTGGAAAAGTACCACAATTCAAAAGCTAACTGCAAACTGGAACAAGAAAGTAGCGGAGAAGTAGTGGTTTCCATAGCGACACACAGCCGTTACATTGTTACATTGTCTCGAAAATCGTTAGCTACAAAATGTCAGATTTTATAGTTATCATCTGGACAACAGAAAAATGTGGAGCAACGCGCTTTTTGTACAGGCGTACGCAAGCGCCTCGGTCCTGCCGCAGTACTGTCGTACCAATAATGACGTTAAAGAACGGCCTCTCGTGTATGATTGCTTAATTGAAGTTCCCTTAGTCATTTGCTAATACAGTAACTAGGGCCACAATATGGTAATGACCCATGTTAATCTGCAGATGCTTAAAAATGCAACATTTTGCATTTACAAAAACAAAATCTCACCAATTGAAGGCTCCTACTCTTCTAATAATAACTTCCACCAAGAGTTTCTGTACTCCTACAATTCTCAAAAATGGACAGAAGCATTTTCTAACAGTTTGGTGACGATCCATATTTGAGATTCAGTTGATGTCTTTCTCAGGTAGTGACAATAGCGATGAGTAAGAGAATACAATATTTAAAATAAGCACATTTCAACTACAAGTTTAACAAATACAATAACAATTGTTTTTGCTACAACTGCCTGACCTGGGAGCTGAAAACAGGGTCAAAAGGCAGAATGATGATCATTGTCTGGGAACATACATGGTTTTCCATAATGTAAAAGCATTTATTGCCAAGAACATGATGCCCTCATTGCAATTTTGAACACTGATTTATTGTGTTTATCTATTTATAATGTCTGACATTATTAAGATGTTTATTAATATTTTGTTTCTTCTCCCCAGCTCTTTCGGGAGGTACGAATAATGAAAGGCTTAAATCACCCTAACATAGGTAAGGCACTATATATATATATAGGTACTGTACTATACTGTGTTGTGTTGTGTGTGTGTGTGTGTGTGTGTTATGTGTGTGTGTGTGTGTGTGTGTGTGTAGTGGGTGTGGTGTGTGTGTGTGTGTGTGTGTGTGTGTGTGTGTGGGTGTGTGTGTGGTGTGTGTGTGTGTGTGTGTGTGTGTGTGTGATGTGGTGTGCTGTGGTGTGTGTGTGTGTGTGTGTGTGTGTGTGTGTGTGTGTGTGTGTGTGTGTGTGTGTGTGTGTGTGTGTGTGTGTGTGTGTGTGTGTGTGTGTGTGTGTGTGTGTGTGTGTGTGTGTGTGTGTGTGTGTGTGTGTGTGTGTGTGTGTGTGTGTGTGTGTGCAAGCTTGTTGGTGATGCTTCCATGTGTGTGGTCAGACCGAAATGTAATGCTTTGAATGAGCTTCAGAGCATTCATTGACCCAGCTGTGAGTGTCATCTTAGATCATGAGGGTGGTAATTGAAGAGCTGAAATGCCATATGGATAATATAAAACCAACAGCATAAGCAGAGGGTTTCTTGGTATTATGAAAAACAGACTGCTGTGCTATTGTTTTTTATTTGAGCAGGATTTGTTGAGATGTATGTGATTTTAATCTGAATCTGTTTTGTGCTACAGTGCAGCTGTTCGAGGTGATTGAGACGGATAAGACCCTTTACCTTATCATGGAGTATGCCAGTGGAGGTGGGTTCAACTCCCTTCACCATCAGAAATACTATCAGTACATTATATACATCCATTTAACAAATGCAGCTCCAACCACGGAATCTTATGTGCATTTCGATAATTTTACAGTTTAGTTTATTTATTTGGAACCATTGCAAAAAGCAAAAGTCCTGCATTCAAAATCGTTCTTAAGTAAGTACAAAAGTATTGGCATCAAAATATACTTCAGTACCAAAAGTGTTTCTTAAAGGTGGGGTAGATAATTTTGGAGGAACCAGCTCGAGTGCGCTAGAATTTGAAAATACACAGCCGGAAGAAATCTGCCACTTCCTTACAGAGCCCCTCCTCCAACACACACGAACGCGCACATGACCAATGAGGGCACGAGATAAGTTTGTGCACAGATGGAAGGCTGACAGGCAGGTAGGCCATCCAGTTACTTTAGCCGGGCCGGCTCAGATGATTGGTCGTGCTTTTTACAGCGTCACGGCTTCCACTGATGACTTTTTTTAATGGATGTTTTGTCAAAGCACTTCAGATATTCATTGCTATCGGGATGTTAAGAGCATTCCATGGAATATAACAACAAGTGTATCTCGAGCCGGTTTCTCAAATGTACCTACCCCACCTTTAAACATAAGGGCTCATTTAAGAATATATTGGTGGATTATGGTTATGGATGCATCACAAGACTTATTTTAATTATTTGATTTACTGCCGCTGGATATCTGAACCTATAATTATATGTCAATGTTTATTTATTAGTTGATTTATATTTTGTTTTAGATAATAATCTTAATCTGTAAAGTAACTAAAACTGTTAGATAAATGTTGCAATAACTATAATTTTAGCTTCCAAAATGTCGTGTAGTATGAATCAGCATAACATTTAAATAAAGTAAAGTACAAGAAACACAACTTCAGTAAAAGACTTCATTACGTTCCACCACTGTTACCCTTTGGATTTAGCAACATTAGCTATTTCCCCATTGTTACTGTCTTTATGCTAAACTAAGCTATCTGGTGCAGCTTCACATTAAATGATAACTTATGATAGTAATATAAATCTAAGGAGAAAATAAGCGTATTTCCAAAATTGAGAACATTGAAGTCGAAGTTGACACCATGAGAGCACATGTACCTTGTAATATTTCAAATAATGGCATGGCTATTACGCTTCTGTCTTTACGACTGGACTGATATGTTTCTGCTGCTCTCAGGTGAAGTGTTTGACTACCTCGTGTCTCATGGGAGAATGAAGGAGGTTGAAGCCAGAGCCAAATTTCGACAGGTACAAATTCATCGCCTATGGATGCCCACATTGTACCAATCCTCACTTTTGATTGTCCGTACCATAACTCCGTCTGTTCCTTTGTGTTCACAGATTGTTTCTGCTGTCAACTACTGCCACACGAAGAACATTGTCCACAGAGATTTGAAGGTGAGAAGCTCTGAAGATATTTTGGGCTGCTTTCAGAGATGCTGGATTAAGGCTAGGTCAAGACTAGGACATTTCTTCCACTGACAGATTACACTGAACTCACATTTATAATCTGGGACTAGTTTTAATCTGTGTCTGTGAAAAGGGCCCAGTAAAGCCCTGATGAGTGCAGAAGCTGAAAAGGGTATGAGGCAGTCAGATTCTGCTCCTTTTCTCATTAGTCCTAAACACACACAGGGACATACATATATACACTATGACTCATGTACAGTAGCTACTGTATGCTGGACAACCCCCCATCTGTCTCTCATTCGCGCTCTCTTTTCTTCCTCACAACTCCCATTCTTGTGTCCATCCTACTTTCTCATTCCTCTTCTCCTCCCCCATCCCATTACTTCCTCCCCTGCTCCCCTCTTCCCTCCTTGGATGTGTTGTTCTCTGTCCCCTTCCTGTCCTCTCGGCCTCCTGCTGTGCATGCTTGCCCCCCCCCCCCCCCCCCCCCGCTGCATCCATACATGTATGACTCAGGCGGAGAACCTTCTGCTGGATGCCGACGCCAACATCAAGATTGCCGACTTTGGCTTCAGCAACGAGTTCACGTTGGGCAACAAGCTGGACACGTTCTGTGGCTCGCCGCCCTACGCCGCCCCGGAGCTCTTCCAGGGGAAGAAGTACGACGGGCCCGAGGTGGATGTCTGGAGTCTGGGGGTCATCCTCTACACGCTGGTCAGCGGCTCGCTGCCTTTTGATGGGCAGAACCTGAAGGCAAGTGATGTGTGGAGGAGCTGTCTGTCTATCTGTCCGTCTGTCTGTCTGTCCGTCCGTCTGTCTGTCCGTCCGTCTGTCCGTCCGTCTGTCCGTCTGTCCGTCTGTCTGTCTGTCTGTCTGTCTGTCTGTCCGTCCGTCTGTCTGTCTGTCTGTCTGTCTGTCTGTCTGTATGTCTGTCTGTCTGTCTGTCTGTCTGTCTGTCTGTCTGTCCGTCCGTCTGTCCGTCTGTCCGTCTGTCCGTCTGTCTGTCTGTCTGTCTGTCTGTCTGTCCGTCCGTCTGTCCGTCTGTCCGTCTGTCTGTCTGTCTGTCTGTCTGTCTGTCTGTCTGTCTGTCTGTCTGTCTGTATGTCTGTCTGTCTGTCTGTCTGTCTGTCTGTCTGTCTGTCTGTCTGTCTGTCTGTCTGTCTGTATGTCTGTCTGTCTGTCTGTCTGTCTGTCTGTCTGTCTGTCTGTATGTCTGTCTGTCTGTCTGTCTGTCTGTCTGTCTGTCTGTCTGTCTGTCTGTCTGTCTGTCTGTCTGTCTGTCTGTCTGTCTGTCTGTCTGTCTGTCTGTCTGTCTGTCTGTCTGTCTGTCTGTCTGTCTGTCTGTCTGTCTGTCTGTCAGGGTACCTGCAGGGCCCTGAGTTTACTTGGGGGCAAATTTTTTACAGTAATATATTATAATTTGTCCTACAACAGCACGAATAATTGTTCCTTTAAGCTTAAACATTCTAAAATCTATCCACAGATACACCGTGTATGGGGTTTTATTTGCAGGGACTGCACATTTAATTTAAATTAGGATTAGGATCTTTGCCAAATTCACATTTATGATAATACATCAATGTTCAGCAGGATCATCCATTTTTAGAAGTAAAACTTAACATTAGGCTAAAAACACTAAACAGGGTTACATTGCTGGGCATCAACACCGCTAAGCTAAAGACGGCTAATGTTCAAAATCATGATGTCTCATTTTGAAAAATGTGGTATTAATTACACATAGAAGCTTGAGACATTACCATTGGAGTGTTTACTGACGTGTTTCATGTTGAAGCTTTAGCTCGTGTGAACCACAGACCTTATTTTGGGTATCTAATTGAGATGAGGTGGTTGAATGCTGACTCATTCCTGTTTTAGCACTCATTATTGCATTGTAGTGGATGATAGGATGTGATCGAACCACTTCAAAGCTATATGCAGGTGTTAGCAACCAGTGGCCTGTGTGCACATGAGTCCACCTACAGCAGCATTAGCATCTGGAATTGTGTTGCTGGACACCTGGCGAATTTAAGCCCAGTGTTTACTCTCCTTCAGCTCTTTTTAAAATCTGTGCTAACAACATCTGTCTCTGAGCTGCTAGAGGCTTCCATGTGTTCACCAGCTAGTCTCTTTGTGCTGTTTGCTGTTGGTAGGTAGTGTGCACTGGGTTTTCAGAGCCTTTTCACTGAAAACTGCTGCCTGCTGTGGCTGAAACTAGCTATCGATGAAAGCGTGAATGTGAAACAGTAAACGAAAAGAATGAGTTACTGTAAAAGTATCTCTAAGAGAAAGGCCATACCTTTATTGTAGTGCTGGAATGAAACCTCCATGTAAATGAGCGATCATGATTGCACAGTTGAGCAAGGTAGTTGAGTTGTTGATTGCAATGCTGGTCACCAGATAATATATGCAGAATATCTGAAGCATTTTAGTGTGTATGACATTCAATCTAATGTTTCATTTTACATTTCTAGTTTATAGACAAACTGTGAGGTTATGTGTTCCTAGCCTTTACTCTTTAAAACCATGACTGTTGGTCTGATATGTTCTTGTATACCCAAATGATATAAGGATGTCATCTTTGTGGGGATATATTGGTTAAAAGGTGTATTTTAATTGTTAATTAACATCTGCTTACATGTCTGTGGTTCCTTGCTTGATGTGCTCAAAATCAGCCACTTGTAATTTTGTTTATTTTTAATAAATAGGAAAGAAAGGACCTTTATACAGTATTAGTTTATGTGTACAAAATAACTATTTAATTTATATTCCTGAGTCACCCTACAGTCTTCTCTGCTGTATTTTTATTTCACCCTGTAGTAGAACCTGCTCCTAAAAAAGCTTAAATAGTATTTTTATCCTAAATCAGGCAGATGGCAATGAATGGCCCCCTGGAGCTCTACCAGAGGATGGAGACAAATGTGTATTTAACCCCACTCATGTGACCGCCCCCCAGCATACTGCCTGCAGGGAGGGACCCGGATAGTTATTTGCAACCGACACCATTACATTACACTGGTCTCATCAGAGAGTGTTGGATGTGTTGTAATTTAGAGTTCAAAAGAAAGTGGTGATAATGAGTGAGAGAGCCAGAATGTCCTCTTCTTAATCTACCTGTGTGCAGATAGTGTCGTGATGCATCATGCTATGGCGGTCATACTGCCCAATGTTAGAGTAGCATTAAAGGCAGGGGTTCAAATGGGCACAAAGACCCATGCTCTTACTTCATTGACCTCGCACATCTTCAATAATGTCTCTGCTTTATATATAACGTCTATCTGTGTTTGTTTACAAAAAGAATGTGTCCGCTCATAGCCTCAGTGCTTCACAGAGCGGCTCCCCTCAGGGCGAGGGGCCTGTGGCGATGTCTGTAAACCACCTGACCCTTATTTTAACACGCAGCCCGTCTCGTTAACCATGCTTTTAGGGTGTGTGCTTTATGCTAGGTTATGATCCTTTATATCCACCAAAGAATTGATGATACTTTTATGTTTTCAAGAGCTCTACTTTGTCTATCCTCATAACGTAGCCTCTTAATTTTGTTCTCAAAGTGCACCAGATTAGAGCATTTCCATTTCAATTGTAAAATTGAAAGTTAAATTATTCCTGTGATTTTTCATGTTGCGAAACACATTGCAGCAAAATGAATATTGCCATGTCCATTTTTTCTTCTATGGTTCAGCCGTCGCTTGCACTTTAGCAGGATTGTAGAACAACATGGGAGTGAAAGCAATGCTCCGTTTATTTCATTGTGAATTAGCAATAAAATATATATCTGGCTCTTACACAATAAATAATTGTGATCAAATCATGATCTCAATAATGATCAACGTAATCGTGATCATTATTTTGGCTCTTAACTTCATGTGTGTGCAATGAGTTCACATGTAGTTGCTCTTTAAGTGTGTGTATATTGTATACGTCTACGATGTAAAGGAATTCCTGTCTAATGTAACGTTGAAAAAGCCTCAAAATGATGAGATTCATTCGAAATGAGGCCCCTTACCCCGAGACGACACATGACAAATCCTAGTTTAACCCCTGATTTGACGCATATGGTTGCTGTGTTAACATTGGTATCATGTGATATGTGTTCCACAGGAGCTGAGGGAGCGTGTTCTGAGGGGGAAGTACCGCGTTCCCTTCTACATGTCCACAGACTGCGAGGGGATCCTCCGCCGGTTCCTAGTGCTCAACCCCTCCAAACGCTGCACTCTAGACGTGAGTACACTCTGCACAGAAGCTGTAGCTTAGCTCATTTTAGACACAACTGAATGTTCTCTGTGTTTCTGTTGTACAGCAAGTCATGAAGGACAAGTGGATTAATGCAGGGTATGAGGGGGAAGACCTGAAACCCCACATAGAACCTGTGGAAGATTTCAGTGACGCAGCTCGCATAGGTGAGTCCGCTGCTTCACCCAGAAACCTTCTCCACCACACAGCTTATTCAGAGGGGAGTAATGGAGTACATGTAACGTAATTATACAACAAAACAAAAGTAACTGTAACTTGTAACCTGTACGGATAACTTTGAATAATTAATCAAAAGTAATTGTTTTTCAAAATGGGGTTAACTAGCAGGTTTACAGAGTTACAATACATCGTTATATAAGGAACATTATATTACAAAGCACATGCACACACACTACAGCTTAATGAGTCTCACAATATTAAGTGAAACAAGTCTTATGGGGTTCTTTCTTTCTTTTCTTTTAAATTACGTCTTTTTTTAAATCCAGTAGGTAAAGACCAGATTTGTTAAAGCATATACTGTTGTTTTTCCATGTACTAAACTAGTACATAACAGCATAAGGAAACTAAAGCCTGGCTTAATCTGGAATCCTGACGGTACGTCCACACGGCAGCGTTGCGTGCTTCAAAGGAGACGCTTTGCCGAACTGCATTGTGGTTCCGTCGCGTCGCTTTGCCTCCGTTGCTCGCTTCGAAAGTTGAGAAAAGTTCAACTTTTCAAGCGTGGACGGAAGCGTCAGCCAATCAAATCATATGCCAGTACAGGCTCTAGCCAATCAAACCGCGTGCATGTGTGTGTCCGGGGCGGGAGATTAATGTGATTGGTTGTTGGTCGCACGCCAGACACGCCCACCGGCAAGCTTCAACGCGACGCTGCCGTGTGGACGCACCGTGAGGCCTGTATAACTCCTGTAACGGCTGGTTTTATCTTGGTTTTAGTAGTTCAGTAGGTGGAGACCTGATTTGTGAATGATCTTATTCCATATAGTTTTGTAAGACCATATTCTGTCTCTTGGAGAAGGAGCAGATTTGAGATATTCTTTGTCCGCTGTGATGTCCTAGGTGCTGCAGCACAGGCAGTATGAGAAAAATACCTTTTTGAACATTAAAGCATGGAGACATGTCACAGTAGCAGCACAAAGTACAAATATGAACCTTAAAATCAGCATGTTTAAGGTTTAAAGTAAACCTCCCAACCCTGCTGGTCAAAGTAGTCATTTACAGATGTTTGTATTCTGGCTCTAACCTTTTCTCTTTGTGTTCCTCAGAGGTGATGGTGGGGATGGGCTTCACTCCAGAGGAGATCAAGGACGCTCTGCTTAATCAGAAATACAATGAAGTCACTGCCACCTACCTACTACTGGGCCGCAAAGGCGATGTGAGTCACATACATCTACCAAATGTTATCTTTTTCTTACACAATGATATGCTGATATGATAAGATGCAGTACTGCAGTACTACTATCAACCCATTATTTTAAAAGTCACTTAAATTGGCTTGACACTGAAGAATTTTCAAGATAGAAAAGGCTCTTAAATGTGTTTGGTAGTGATAGAAACAGAATTATAATATTCTATAATACTTTGAAAAATCAATTCTGCAAACTTTTGATACCTTAAGTACATTTAGCTGATGATACTTCTCTTACTTCTGAAGTTATATATTCAAACCAGGACTTTTACTTAAAACGGAAAACAAACAGTGTTTGTAGTTTTACTTAAATTAAAGTTCCTTAGAATTTCTTACAATTTGCTCTCACCTTCAACCTTCCAAACCCCTGCCCCCCCTCTTTAAATGTTCCAGTTCATAGATAGGTATGGTTTATATCAGTGGGCTGATTTAGGAAGAGAGGCCATGAGAATGCAAAGTATTTCCTTGCTAACTTGCTACATACAGAGATGGTCAGAGATATACAAGGTTAAAGTTGAAATAATTTAGACTGTTTGAAACCCTACCTCGCTTATCAGAACTGCAATTCAAAACTTTGTTGTGTGGTAGACCAAAACCCCTGGTGTACTCGATTACCTATTTATCCTTCTCGCTGTGAGACCCATCTTCTCCCTTCCTGACTCCTCTCTCTCCGTTGTGACATCACAGGAGGCCAGTGAGGCCCGCACAGCCAGCAGCCTGTCCCTGGCCAGAGTACGACCCAGCCCCATCACCAACGGGACCAACAAGCACTCTTCAGCCACCGGCACATCCTCCTCCTCCTCCACCTCCTCCTCTTCACATAGCAAGACTCAGCGCAGTGCCTCCACCTATCACAGGCAGCGGCGACACAGCGACTTCTGTGAGTCTCTTTTCTAACGTCTTTATTCCCTCTTTCTGGGCCCTACATTCAGGAGACCTGGAGCCTGGAACGGTTTTCTCCTTGTGATTGTAATATTATCTTTTTCATACAAACATAACATATATCCTCACTTGGAATGCTGGGCCTAGCATTGTATGGAGGGCGTATTCCACTGTTGATGCAGAATATTCCTTATACGAGTCTCTATGTGTCTGTGCTCTGCTGTCCTCCACAACAAAGGCGGGCCGTCCATGCCCGTCATGCACCCCAAGAGGAGCCCCACCAGCACGGGGGACCGCGAGCTGCGGGAGGGCCGAATGCCTTCACGTAAGGCCAGCTGCAGCGTGATGGGGAGCCACAGCCTCCCCCCCTCCAGCCCCATGGTCAGCAGTGCCAACAACCCCAACAAGTCTGAGATCCCAGACCGCCGCAAAGACATGACTGCCACCACGGTACGTGACGGATGTCCAGAAAACTCAATTTAGAAATCTTTGGAAAAGGCAGAGTTTCTCATTTCTATTCTTGGTTCATAATCATCACATTTAGACATCTTCAGTACATATAACTACACTTTGTTGTCTTCCGGTCAACTGCGCAACTTTTGTCCTGGTTTGACTGTTTATAAACCATATATAGTATAAATGATTACCAACATCTGGGTTACACCTTTTAAGCCAACTTCATTCCAAGTCATAACTACATTTTAGGCAAAGCAAAAAAGATATTGACTATAGTTAGTTTGCACAATTCTGTTCAATGCTACCTCTTTTAAAAATCAGCACAGCTATCTACTTAAAATGCACATACTGTATATCATCATGTATGCACATATATATATATGAGGAATTGATAAGGCCTCATAGGAAAACATTGAAATCAGATATGAGAAAAGACAATTTGGTGCTAGTGTAACTTTTTAACATGATCCTGGTGTATACTAAAGTTTAAGTGTAATAGAGAACCGCAGTGGGGGTTCCTAAAATCCTAAAGCCCGGAAGTAAGTTAGCATTTTTAACACGTCCGGTTCCTTCAACAAAAAGCAACGGGATTTCTCCATTGACACAAATTGAAGAGACAGATCACGTTTTGTTCTACGACATTAAATACATCAGCAGTGACCCCACTGGTGATTTTTGAAGAGTTTGCGTGTCTGGAAAACGATGGTTGTTAACAAGTGGCTGAATAGGACTACAGAAGTTGTCCAGGCCGTTTTACGTCATTACACCGAACACGTAAAACACTCCTCTAAGTTTGTTTGCCCTGTTCTGCTTGAAAGCAAGTACCTGCCTCCTGCAGACTGTTAAAACAAACACTTCAACTTGTACCATTTACAATCTGTATGTTTGAATATGGATCTTAAGTTGGCGTGACGTTGAAGCAGCGACCCTGCTGTAGTTCCTTTATAGCATAAGGTTAGCATTTTGCTTCTGGCGACTAGATTTATGATTCGAAAATTATAAAAGTAGGGATAGACATGTGGAGATTATCCGGCTGAACAAAACGTGATCCGTCTCTTAAATGTGTGTCAACCACAGACCTTATTTCGAGCTATTTTCCAAAATCCTATGGAGAAATTGCATTGCGTTTTTGACGAAGGAACCGGAAGAAGTTTACTTCCGGGTTTTAGGAAGCGTCACTGCGGTTCTCTATGGTTCCACTGATTATCAAAGTGACTCTTAACCCTGACTTTGTCTTCTGCTTTACTCCCCTCTGTGCAGAATAACATCCCTGGAAGCGCCATGACGCGCAGGAACACGTACGTGTGCACCGACCGCTCGGGCACTGACAGACAATCTCTCCTGCAGAACGGCAAAGAAAACAGGTAGCGTTCGTGTTAGAGGGTTAACATTTCTCAGTACATGTCTCAGGTAGATGAACAGGCAAACACATCATCCTATGGATCTGCCGTAAAGCAATGACATAGAAGCTACAATGGTAGATAGAAGGTGGGAAGATGGGTACTCCACTCATTTTGCCAGTAATATTTAGTAAGGAAAGGCAGTATTGTCCTAAATTGGTCTTTCATTAGGAGGATTTGTGAAAAAATCTGAAATACAACCTCCAGGTACGCTTTTTGTCTTGGGAGCTTACAGTACGTGCTCAGTTTCTGCACTTCTTGTGCCGAAATATTCAAAATCATTCTAAAATATACTTATTTCTTCCTTCATACAGTTAACAGAGGTGTAATTTAATACAAGCTAACATCATTTAAATAAGTAACATCACTTTTATAGTTAAAGGTGGGGTAGGTAAGTTTGAGAAACCGGCTCGAGATACACTTGTTGTTATATTCCATGGAATGCTCTTAACATCCCGATAGCAATGAATATCTAAAGTGCTTTGACAAAAAATCCATAACATAATGTCATCTATGGAAGCCGTAGTACTGTAAAAAACACGACCAATCATCTTAGCCGACCCGGCTAAAGTAACTGGATGGCCTACCTGCCTGTCAGCCTTCCATCTGTGCACAAACTTATCTCGTGCCCTCATTGGTCATGTGCGCGTTCGTGTGTGTTGGAGAAGGGGCTCTGTAAGGAAGTAGCAGATTTTCTCCGGTTGTGTATTTTCAAATTCTAGCGCACTCGAGCTGGTTTCTCCAAAATTACCTACCCCACCTTTAACATAACTTAAAAACAATGTTATATACAGATGTACCAGATTATTTTTTTACTACTGTTTTTTACACGATGAAATTATTAACTGTACCATAAAAACATGGAAATAGGGAGTTTCTCGAATCAAAGTGTCTATTTTCATCAGACAATTCACGTTTATTCACAGCAGCATAGAGTTTGACGGCTAGGGTCTAGCTTCATCAATGCATGCAAAATATTAAGGAGTAATAATTGAATAACCTTCTTCCGGAGCTCACAGGTGCATTCTGGGATGGATGCTAGGGTGGTAGTGGAGTTTAGAAAGGCAGCAGTGATGCAGAAGCAGGGAGGCAGCAGTATTGGCAAAGCAGAGGGAGGGATGGCAAACCATGCTGCTAAGATAGAGCGCCAGATTTAGGGAATGTGTTCAGTTGGTGGTATGGAGGTAAGGCATGTCAGGTGTATCTGTGTCATTATAACTCGAGTTGACTGACTCCATATTTCATTTGAAACCAAATGATAAAAAACAATTCCTGCAACAGCTTAAAGGTGTCCTATCATATCATATCATAAATATGTGTCCCTGGTGTGTAAGGGAACTCACAAAGTGTCAGAAAATAAAACCCTCTCTCTTTTCCTCCTCACCCACATCTTTAAAAATAGGGCTACAACGGAGCTGATTCAGATTTGCTGCCGATATGACGTAATATCTGAAATGTGGGCTGGCTTTACGCCCACGGCCCTATCAGAAACGTCGCTATCAGAAACAATGCGCAACGTGTTTTGGACGTAATATGGTCTTTGTTTACATTGGCAAGCATCGCTAACACTCAGAGCTAACCTGTACTGGAGAGAGTATGTGTAAAAAAGCAGGAAATAAAAAGGTACTCACCTTGTGACAAGAGAAAAAGCATTTGAGCTCCATACTGTTTCAGAAATAATCCTTCAAGTGGTTTGGAACATAATATGGCGTTTAATCACGGCAGCATTTAGCTGAGTATCTGCAGGCAGAGAGGAGACCTCACTGCTTGCCTTGCCGTGCTCAAAAGGGGGCGGGGCCATCAGCTACAGACCCAGAATCAGCACTTCTCTAACAGGGCTGAAACAGGCATATGAGGGATGTTTAAAATGCACGATCTGTTTGGTATTTTGAGCAAAACACGTCATAGACATGTTTTTTATATATTTGTATATATCTGAGACCCATAATATATGCCTACAAATAGCATGATAGGAGACCTTTAACACACGTTATTCCTCCTCCGCTCTCAGCTCCCTGAGCCACCGCCTGCCTGTAGCGTCTCCCTCCACACTCAGCATCTCCGCCGCCGGAGCGGCCTCCTCCTCTTCCTCTTCGGACCGGTGCCGTCTGACCCGAGGCTCCACCATCCGCAGCACCTTTCACGGGGGACAGCTGAGGGACCGCGGGACCCCGGTCTACTCGGCCCCGCCTACTTCACCCACCCTGTCCCACCATGAAGCCAGCCCCCTGCCACACGCCCGCACCAGGGCCACCTCCAACCTCTTCACCAAGATAACCTCCAAACTCACCCGCAGGTACAGGCCAACACACTCAGCACTGAGGCCACTCTCATGGCTGCATTACAGTAGAGCTCTGAGCACCGAACTCTAAATCACGATGTGATCTAGTGCAATATTTAAATCGTAGGTCGAATATTTGTTACAAGCAAACTATGTGAAAAAGTTATTCTGAATTAGATTGATGCTGAATAATGTCCCAGTCTACAAATCCTATTCTACGGACTTAATTAAATATCTTTGTTTGGTACAGATCCTCTAAAAAAATCATGCCAAGATCATCTTAAGATATATTTCCCTATGATAATGAGAATACTTATTTAAAAATGATCATTCCCTATTATTATTGTGATAATATCGCAATTTCAGCCAAAAATAATTGTGATTAGTTGTTTTTTATTTATTATTATTATTTATATTACTATATATATATATATAATTAGCTAAATGAATATGAAACTAGAGCGAGAAGATTATTATAGCATAAAGTCCTGAATCATGGGGGAAAGGCAATCCTTGCTCTCTTTAAAGCAGTGATGTCATGTAACTGAAACATACCAATGCCACAGGGGAAAAACGATCATTGAATATAACACCTTGGCAAAACATGTATTTGTTTACATTCAGAAAACAAGATTTTTCCCAGAGGAAGTGTGCATGTTTACCAGCCTCTGAGAACGTCACAAAGGCAATAGAGTGCAAATAAATCACCAAACAAAACCATGCAATCGTATGTATTTAGTAAGTAACAACATTAGTTTAAAATAACTAAAAGTATGTACTAACTGTACTCGAGTGCTATGTAGGCTATGCAGTGGTGTGTGGCTGTGAGAGTAGAGGCTGGTACCGCTGTACTGTTTCTGAACATTAGAATTAAAGGCATTACATTCAGAATCCATATATTAAACAATCAACATTTTTTATTTTCACAACACTACTTAGAACAACAACAAAAGATACATAAAGATGCATCTTTTAGAATCCTGGTTGGTGTTTTTTCATCTTGTATCTGGACAGAGCAAGGCTAGCTGGTCTTCAGTTCTTGTGCTAAGCTAAGCTGTTGGCTTTAGCTTCATATCTACCATACAGTCATGAGAGTGGTATCAATCTTCTTATGTAACTCTAGTCTACAATTATTATTTTTAATATGTCAAACTATTCAGATAACAAGTTATGTTACGGCTTAAATAAAACAGTTATTATTTCACTTTCTAACTGTTTATAAGGGAGTTTTGTGACATGTAGTCTAGATTTGTACAGTTGTCCTTATCAGTTGCTTCAATCCGTCCTACCTCTCCTCCCTGCATAGCTTTCATTTGATTCCAGGTTTCAAAATGTTCTTTTATGTTCACAGAGAAAGTGGTACAATTGATGTTTGCATTACTTGTTTTGGGGAGATTATGCACATTGTCTGCTGATTCAGCTGCTCAAACTTAAAATATGTCATCAAAAGAATAGCGTCACATTAAACTAATATTTATCATATGAAATTGTGTAGCGTTGTTGTGCAATTCTTCCTTTCAGCTACAGCGCAGCCTGGATATGGATCCATGCTTATCAGAACACTTGAATCACCCTGGCCTTTCGGCAAGCCCTTCTGTGGCCCTGGATTATCCCCCCCCCTCCCTGTCGTCATAAACACACATGTCTAATCTTATCAAACCTCAGCTTTATCCTTGCCAATCAGCTGCTGCACTGCACTCTTCTCCACTACTTGCTCCCCTGTGATTCAATTATATTCTCTCTTACCCCGTATTCCCTCTTTTTCTCCATCTGTATCTTCTTGTGCTTTCCCCTGTCATGCCATCAGGGTCAACCTTGACCCGTCCAAGCGCCAGGGCTCAAACAAATCAGTGTCGGGTTGTACTCTTCCACAAGGATCAAAAACAGTTAGTAAGTTCCCATGTCTCTGGCTTCTCTCTTGTCTGCCTGTGCCGCCCCATCTGTCTGACTGCGTGCTCATACCTCTATCTATGAATTATTGCTCGTCCGCATGACTTGTTAATCATCCTCATACTGTGAAGATCCCACACACTCGCTTACAAGCATGCTGCATTCAAGGAGGATTCGTTTGTTTTAACTCTCATTTTCAGGATGAGTGTCATTGTCATTACATTAAACCAGTCTTTATTGGTTGATGGGTTGAAAATCATTAAATGTGTATTTCATGTGATGTTGAGAGTGGATGGGAGTGTGTGGTAAACAAGGTAAATGGACTGCATTTATATGTGCATGCTATAAAAACGTTGAGAAAGTAATTTTCTGTAAGGTGAGGAGACATTTTTCTGCACATCAGGTGCTCGTTGTTGTTGATGCTTACTTGCTGTAACGGTTTGATATCCACTAGTGAATGACATCTCATTGAGAGTTGTGGCTCAGAAGGCTCATTGTTCTGTGGGGTGTAACCTCTCACTCTGTCCGTTCCTCCACAGGGTCACAAATGAATCTGAGGGAATCAGGAGATTTGCGGTCACAAGGTCAGTTCCCATGTTGCAGCAGCATTAATAGAAGATAGATGATGGCTCACTTCTGTTTTAATAGTGTAGTATAAGTGGAGTGGCTAAGAAATCTCCAAATCACACTGAGTCTTAGAGAGTAAATCCAATGTCCAGGCAATGGAATAGCTTGTGCAGTTAATTCTCTTTCCAATAATCAAACAATACATTTTAAAAACGCTGTACCTCTTCTCCTGCCTTTGCATAAAATACTATTTTTTACCTGTTGCCCAAATCTGCCTTCAAAGTAAAAGCATACTAATGAACTAACTGCTTTAATTAACTTAAATAATTATACTAAGAAACAGCAATACAATAAATGTTTGTCTAGTATATTGTGCAATATACAGATATATGCAATTTCTTTTTTTGTTACAATTTATATATGTATGTTTTTTAACCGGCTCGTACAATACTTATATGTTCACTAACTTAAACAAAAAAAATGCTACTTTATTTTTTAACATGGTGTTCTTATTTGCTTCTATTCTTAATAACATTTGCTTAACTTTTTATTTAATAATTAAGTCTGCTATTTTTCCTTTTGCCTTTTTATCTGCCTTGTACATCTCCCTACTGTAGGACAAAGGCTTTTTGATTCTGATTGGATCATACAGATCAATGAATATCTCCAAAAATAAGCATCAAACATTTTTCTGATTTCCCCCCCTCTCCCCAGTTGCCATCTACCTGGGTATCAAAAAGCGTCCGAGCCCCGGGCCGTCGGACGTGGCTGGGATCTGAGGGGGGGGGTGCGGCGGGACCCTGCGGAGGTGGTTCTGGCTCTGCGGGAGGCGGCACTCGGCTGTGGCTGCCAGGTCCACCACGCCGGCCCCTTCCTGCTCTCCTGCAGCCACGGGGTGGCGGAGGGCCGCGTTGCTTTCGAGGCCGAGGTGTGCCATCTCTCCACAGGCACCTCGGAGACTTCTAACGGGGTGCGCTACACGAGACTCTGGGGGACACCGCTAGCTTTTCGGGACATTGCCACCCAAATCTCCAAGGACCTTGAACTTTGAATGGAGGATGTGTTTGAGTGTGTGTTTGAGTGTGTGTTTTTGCGTGAATGAGGGTGGATGTGACTGCGCTAGGAGAGGGGGGGTTGGAAATATTGGAGAAAATAATAGGCGAGGGGCTGGACCCGGAAGAAAAGACTTCTGTCTCTTTCATGACTACCCCCCCTGCACACACACAAATACACACACACACAAATACACACACACACACCAGGCCCGTAAAGTCACACAGACTGAGGGCCCCCCCCCCCTTCCATCCAATCAACCCCCCAGCTCAGCCAGCTGAGCACCTGCACCTACTGGACCTGGATCAGATGGATACTAGTTGAATATTTTTTATTGCTACTCTAGCCATAATGACTCTTTATTTTGTTATTTATTGCTCTGGTCCTTGGTCTTTGTTAACAAACGTCATCTCCTGACCAGCCATCTCCTTCTTTTAACTTCTTCTTTTATACGTCACAGCATTTTTCCACTAACCAATGATTATATGCTGACTCGTCATCACCTAGGGACAACAAGATGCACAATCGCGGATATGGTCCGACTCAGTGATCACACAGTAGCCACATAGGGTTGCATTGCTCCGATTAGCGAACATACATCAGTGACGAGTGCACTGGATTAAGGTCAGTGGGAGAGGGGTGACAGGCCTTTGAAACAACCAATCACAGGGGCCTCTTCCGCTTCATGAACCAATAGAATGCCGTTACTCCATCACATTCACTTCTCTGTATGGGACTAGCAGACATTTAAAATTGGGAAACAAACCCCATGGTTTGCAAAAACATTATACATACAAGAAAAAGGGAATATTTTGGTGCCATTCTTTCTACACTGATATCAACATTATACAGTATTATACAGCTGATTTAGCTAAATAGTATAAGGTCAGAAGGTGGAAGAAGTACTTACATCGTCTACTATAGTATTAGTAGTATTAATAGTATTATCAACATCTACTTAAAGTACCAAAACTAACAGTACTCATTCTGCAGATTGGCCCAGTAACTAAATATATTAAATACATGTAGTGGAGTAAAAGTACACCTTTCACCTCTGAATTGCAGTGGAGTAGAAGTTGCAAATAATTGAAATACTGAATTAAAGTTAAAGTCCCTCAAAATTGTATTGAAGTACAGTACTTGAGTAAATCTACTTAGTTACTTTACACCACTGCATAGTGTTGTATAAGTTCAATACCATTGTCTTCATTGAATGCCTTTTTTCTCTTAAAGACTACATGCACAGGTGCTGCTCTCTGATTGGCTGGGTTCATTGTCTGTCAGTGCCGGTCAGTAAGACTTGGTTAAAGCATTTAGACTTGATGACCCCTCCCCCCTTTTTCATCTCATACCTTTCTTCAAAAGCATTATATTGCAGACGTGACATACTTGAGAATATCTTTCTAAACAGAAGCCCCCCACTGCTTCAGGTGATTTAAACAAACGTGTTGGTTGTGCAGACCAAGCCCTCGCCAAATCCATACGCTTTCCCTCCCTAGAATAACTGAGGTACTGTAGGATTGGTTTATTATCAGTGGAATTCTTTGCTCTGTGCCATGTGATCCCACCTCAGGCTTCTCAGTATGTTGATGGGGAAACACCAAAAGCAAACAGCGAGACCTCTCAGATCACACACCTTTACACACACATACACAGAAACATGCACTTCTAATGTCCACCCTCTTCTTTCGGTGTCTGGTCTGCAGGAGGGGGGGGTTCTGAATCTGGTAAGGCACGATGAAGGCAGTGCACAGTGTTTTCTTCTTGTTAGTCCTGTTGCCTTTTAAGTGAACAACCCCCAGCGCCTTCATATTTAATGTTAAAGAAAAATAGAGAGTGACAGAAACACTGAGACGGCTTTCTATTCTCCCTCCCTGTTTTTAGTGAATAACGTACTGTGATATTTACGTAGGCTACAGAGATCATGTTGTTTGGCTGCTGATTTACTGTTAATACTATCTCTCAGTTGTGGCTTTGCTCATGGTGACCCTAAACACCCCACCCCCCTTTTCCCACCCATCATAACCCCCCCCCCCCCCGACTCCCTACATTTAAAGGGACGCCAACCTTAGCTGTCCACCACCTTGGTATGTACCACCGACCTTTTTCTATCGTCACGATGAACATGTGGCTCTCCTCAGCTCTTCGTTTGAGAAACACTCGGCCATCATCCACAATCTCACATTGTAGACCCATGTATGACATCTCCTCAGTCCTGTTAATGTGTGCTGTTTCATGAAGCCCAACAGTGGGGGCTGTCGACCTGTCCCCCTCAGGGTGAGAAGCAGACACCCATATGGACACCAGGAGTCTGTCCTTGTCCTCTCCCTGGACGTTTCTCATTGTGGTGTATATTAGCATTAGGTAATATAGACCTCAATGCACTTTGCTTTGACTTGAATCAGCTCCTTCCAGTGTACCTGTACAGGTAATACCGAGAACTAGCCACTGGAGGGCGCCAATGTCTTAAATGTGAAACACTTCAATTTGTGGATATTTGCACAGGTACTTTATTTATTTTTTAGAATTATATCGTTTAAAAAAAAAAACAGGATTTATATCAGTCAGTTGATGGCTGTATATAATATATGAATATAGTATATATCTTAGAGCTCAAGGTTTATTTATAGCTAGAGCAAGGGAAGTAATTCTAGTTTAAAACACATTATGTCAGTGACAATGGGAAACAAAACCAACCTGCAATCCTGCATGACTTCAGAGTTTGGGTTTTAGGGGAAAACATTGAACATGATGCACACCTAGGATTGGAAGACACGTTTGTTTTATAGACATGAATTAATACGAGGAAATTATGCTAAATGTAGCACCTGGCCCTTCCCCGCTCACATAATCAAACAGGAAGGCTGTGGTGAAATGCAGTGATTTCACTCCACCTTGTTTGCTAGAGGATAGGTTTAGTACACTCAAGATGGGTTTCTGAGTTCTGACAAGTATTGAGACATGCCTTGGAACGTATCACGACGTGCAGTGTGAAGATAACAATATTCAGTTGTAGATTCAGCAAGGACCCTTACATTGGGAATAAATTGTGCCGTTTGCTTCTATTCCAACTTGAATTTAAACCGATCCCAAAAAGTCCCTAAAATGTTGAGTTGCATTCAAGCCATAGAAATGTCACATCACTGTCTCCTGAAGGCAAATATGAACAGGTTGTTTGCGAAAACTTGCAGTGGAAAATATTGAAGTGATAATAGCTCAACAGTAAATAACTTAGTGTAACAACTCACTCTTAGTATAAGACGGATGAACATTTTCTTAAGGTGGAATCTACTGTGAAAAATTCTTGAAAATGTTGTTGAGTAAACGTGTGTGTACCTGCTCAGAGACAGTGTGTCCCTGGTCTGGTTTAGATGGTGGTTGGTACAGTATTAAGACCCCAGGGGGCGCAGTATTTAACATGCACTGTCATTTCAAAACTGATTTTGGAAACAGTAAATGTTTTATGCAAAAGGAAGAGACTGAAGAACACACGCAGTTTGACCTGTATGAGTAATTGTACACTGCTCTGCTGTTTAATTCCTCCCTTCAGAAACAAACTGTAAAGTTAGATTGAGTGGTTGTGGTTTATAAGGAAAACATGGAGCTGAAGATTAATAAAATTCACTGATGTTGGCATCTTTTTTCTTTATTTTGGTGTCTCAATCTGAATATTTGGTCAAAGCTTTTGATATTCTTGCAAAGTAAGTATTAATATATGAAGATTAAACTGTGACTGTTATTTCTTATTTTCATGTTGCCACACAAATCATCAAAATGATCCATTTAGTTGTTTCATGGGGTACTTTTTTTTATTGAGCAATATGAACAGCGTCAATAATCATTACTTTTCATAAGAAAAAGTAGATGATACCACGTCTGCTAGGCGAGCCCAGCTCAGTGGAGGCTGATCCCAGGATGTTACCAACCAACACAGGAGGACGAGAACAAAAAGAAGGATAGCAGAGGAACCAAACAGCTGGAAGGAAGACACAGGCGAGCAGAGTCAATAGTCTCTGGTGAGCTTCTGTCTCCTCTGCACGCCCGTCAGCTGGTTCCATTGCACATGAATGGTCGTGAGGTAAATGCAAGATTGTCCCTCTTTACTTCTGGGCGGGGATCATGCTGTCGATAGCCTCTCCCTTCTCCAGCTTCTTCTCCATCTCAACCATCAGCTTGACACCATCAACCACCAGCTGCACCTGGGCCACCTCGGAGGAGCCCAGACGGTCAGCGTTGGAGATGTCGAACACACCACCCACGGAGGCTGTGTCCACACCACCTGGAGAGGATGAAGAAAAGAGATGAGGGTCAGATTACACATCCCAGAATGCTGCAGAATGTCAGATCCTCGTGGTTCTGCCACACTGAAAAAACGTTTTCTTTAATGAAATGTATATGTCACCAGATTTCATATAACTATTAGGTTAGTTGAAAGCAATACTATTAAGTTTAAATAAAAAAGATTTGGTTCAATTTAATAATATTGCTTTCAACTAGCCTAATACAGTGATGTGATTTGACATAATACACTTAAATAAAGTAAACCTTTACATGTTTCCGTGCAGACTGAAGAGTGGAGGATATGTGTACCTGTGCCGCGCTTCTGCAGACGCAGCCTGCCGAGGATCTCGTCGAACTTGGCGTGTACGCTCAGCTTGGGGAGCTTGACGTGGACTCCACCACGCAGGCCGGTTCCCAGGTTGGATGGGCAGGTCAGGATGTAGCCGAGATGCTCGTTCCACATGAAGCCGTGTCCGTGCTTCTTGAAGATCTCCTCAATCTGGAAAATGAGTAACGGGAAGAGTCAGAGAAACATCCAGCAGTGATCCAAACTCAGTGTGTTTTTACCCTGTTTTTATTTATATCTACCTTCTTCAGGCCAACGCAGAAGCGCTTGAAGACCTCCCTCATGTTGCCGCCCTGCTGCATGGAGATGACACGCAGGTGATCCTCCTCGTTCACCCAGACCAGGAAGGTCTTGTTGTCGTTGTGCCTGCAAGAAGATGGATGCAAAGGATCAGCAAACAGTTGTTGGAGAAACATAATCCTCAATGAGAGTTTCAAGTGTTTCAAAGCTGGTCTGCTCAGCATTATAACTTATAACTGGACTTTTCTTCACACTGTACATTTTAGATATATTTTGAATATAATATGCTATTCCTTACACACTTCATGTAAATAATATCTTACTTTTAAATGTAGTTAGGTGTAATGTGCCCCTTCATAGTGTTTATTTGACAGAAAGTCTACAGATGTTTGAACTTTCACTGTCAACGTGTATATATTTTACTTTTTAGTTCTGTTCTATTTTGAGATGTTTACATTTTATGTTTGTTTATTTTCTACTCTATATTGTCACGTGTGCAATTCCTTGTTTTAACATGCTGCTGACAACAACATATTATCTTATTATTGGTCACACTCACATGATGCCTCTGCCGTCGGGCCAGTCACGGGCCATTCCAGCGCAGGTCAGCAGGGGAGAGACGGGCTTGTCGAACAGGAAGTGATCGTTGATCAGCTGGTCCTGCTCGGCATCAGTCATGGACTTCAGGGGGTAGTATTTTCCCTTGAACTCGCCATCCAGGCTGGTCAGAGCTGCAGAGACAGATGCACAGTTGTAACCAGCTGTTGTGATCCATCTAAGCAGGAAAGACTAAGCAATGGAAGCTTCTTCTTAAATTGACATGACATGATCGAGCATTAAAAGAAGGGAAGCATATACTTCTCTTACCCTCAAAACAGCCCAACTCTGATCCTAACCCAGCCTACACAACCCTTTGCATACGTATGTACTAAAACTAATAATAACTCACCCTCAACGGACAGCTTCTCAATGCCTCTGCGCTCGCCACGGCTGTTGTGGGGGGGCAGGGTGAAGCCCTTGATGCTGCGGCCAGTACGCACACGGCTGGACAGAACGTAGGCGGGGTCCAGGTCGTCACCACCCTAATGAAAATGATCAAGTGTGATTATGAAGTAAAACAGGCCACAATACAGCAGTGAGCATCACCAGGTGATAAGTTACTATTAGTCTTTTGAAAGTTGTGCAAATCATTTAAATGATCCCGTGTTCAGTTTCACATGCTACAGTCTTATCCATCTAGTGCTTGTTTCTCACCTTCAGGTTCTCGAAGTTCAGGTCTGTCACGTGCTTGTCAGTGGGCTTGTATCCACCATGACGGTCTGAGATGATGGGGTCCAACAGATCCTTGAAGACCTCGTAGGACTCCTCATCACCAGCAACGCAGCCAACAGTCATGATGAAGGGGTGACCTGGAGACATGGAGGAAAGCAGATGTTAGAAGATGAGACTGTGAGACAAGTTTCAGGTTTTATTTGATCATTTTGTTTCATCTGAATGTAGGTCTCTCTCTTGACTCACCGGGGTTGTCGACACCAGTCTGGATGACATCATCCAGGGTGTAGCCACTAGGTGTCTGCCTGTCTCTAATCTTGCCGTACAGTTCCTTGGTCAGCACCTTTGCCATATGGTTGTTGTGCTTGGACAGATCGGGGAACTCATCCTCAACCTTGTAGTTGAGTTTGAAGTTGTTGTGGGTGTTACCGAAAGGCATGATTGCTTTCTAACACTGGAAAGACAGGAAAACACAGAATGAATTCACTTGAACAGAGGTTTTGGATTATGAAAAACAAATCATTCTAATCTGACACTATCTGTGAAGGTGATCTGAACATCCACAAAAACAACACTTTGGAGTTATTGGATATTTTGCACGACAGCTGCAGAGGTTTAGTGGAATCCGAGGAATCGTGGTAACAAGTGTCACTCAATTCTCGACGGCTCAGATGTCCCATTGAAATAGAGTTGGGGGTGGAACATGTGTTGACTGTGTATTTTTAGCATCAGAACATCTGACGGCATACCCTTTTCTTTTTTTTTTAAATGTCCTTCATATGTACAAGAAGTATTTGAATTCTTACACGCACAACTCCAGTTCTCCAATTTACATTTTGACACATATTATGCAAGTGTTTGCCTGTCATGTTTTAGATATGCATCCCCTTTAAAAACAAAAACAAAAAACACTTAGTGCATCACTTAAAGTTGTCACTATGCTGAACTTCTTACAGAAGTCTTAGCAGCTGCCCATTTCTTCCCTTCAGTCCATGCCATCATGCTCCAACCAGATTTAATCACTTCTGATTAACTTTACATTTGACTGACGCATGCAATGACGCACGTACAACATCAAATGAAATACCATCTGTAGCGAACTGCAGTGTAGCATTTTGGTAATAAGCCAATTTTTTTAACCATGTAACATTTTTGATGCAGTTATCAGCTCTATCGCAGGAGCAATTATCTTGTACGTTTGAATCCCAAAATGCCATCTTTAAATGTGACTCTTAAATAGCTGAAATGTAATGACTTAAGTTCAGGCAGTCTCTTACTCTTATCTGTGAAACACCTGTCCCTATAAATCGGCGTCCAGAGGAAAGAACCATTTGCAGGGAAAATAACTATATGTATTGATAAGTTAATGCACCGCAATGCAGCTACATCTACTTTAAAACATCATGTTCTTGCATATTTTCATTTAATATCATCAATAGGACTAAACTGTCCAAATTGAATTACCTCTGATACCCAGTAGGTCTCTATATCCTAAAAAGCATCATATGGATGCAGACATCCGGAAATGTTGTGCATTTATCCTTCAATTTCCTGAGGGTCTTTGAGTTCCAAACTCTTCATCACAGAGGTAAAAAGCCAAAAACAATAAATGTTCTCCATCTAACTGTTTGAATGGTTCTCCGAATATGTCTCCAAATATCTGCACCACCTCCTAACTACAAAGATATAATCTCTGTGATATTTCTTTACCTTCACAGCAGACAAGAAAGAGGTAACAATCCTTGGGATCAGATCCTGTTCACCACAGTCAAAATAGGGTCACCCAACTCTGAAAGGCTTTGCCCCCTGTTTATATACCGGGAAGACCCTCAGCCATTGGCTGTCCATTTTAGTGCCTGCCGCGCCCTTATCGGCAAGACCCACCGTACTGAACACTTTATGAAAGGGACGCATTTACATCTCAGACATCCTAGACGGCCACTGCTGCTGTGCCCTCACCCCCCCACCCTTGGCCCATAGATAACACCAAATAGTGGTGTGTATCTGGGGGGGGGGGGGCAGGGTTCACAAGGGTAGGTCAGAGGTGGTGTTGGGGGGGACTTGAAGGAACTGAAAAAAGCTGAGCTTCACTATTGGCGTTGGAGATCATGGGTCTTTGTGTGAGGGGGGAAGGGGGAAAGACTGCAAATGGATGCCATGTTGATTTGCTGTTCAGATAAATACTTTATCCAGCAGATGGAAATCGGAATGATATCTGACTAACACTGTGTGTGGCCGGACAAATGTCAAGTCTGACATTTTTTTCATTTTATTTGTATTGCCTGTCCTTCCCCAAATGTAAAGCGTCTTTGGGTTCGAGAAAAGCGCTATAAAAATACAATTTATTATTATTTATTATTATGTCCATTTCATAGATACCCTTATGATGATGAGTAATTAGGGTTTCGGTTAGGGTCCTCCTTGATGATGTAATAGAGTAATGATCCTCTGAAGGAGGAAGGTCAGTTTTGCACTTTGTTAAATATGGATACACTATATACAACAACAGCAGCTTATCATCAGTTGTCAAATCAGTGAAAACAGTATCATCAGTGTGTTGATGATTGTTGCGTTCTGAAAACTTAGAAAGGAGACTAGATTGAGGCAGTCTAACCCTTCTGATGACCTCCACTCTGCTGGTTTCTTCCTGAAAGAGGAAGAGAAAAGAGACCAAGCTATTGTATTGGATAGTACTAGAGGGTACTGTTTTGTTTGGTGTTCGCACCCTCTCTATGTCGACCCCACACGCTCAGTCGGGCTCTAATTGAGATGGCAATTATCAGACATTGAATCTCTGGTGGGAATACTGACGATCACATGGAACGTTGAAGAAGAAAGATGATGCCATTTTTGACATTAGCTTCATTAGCCTCGCTCCAATGTCTCACACTATTTGACCAATGCTTATGCTTTTCAGCTGCTTCAGGCATTGCTTCAATACAGATTAGTGTTCTTTTAGTGAAGTGAATTCAACTCAAATGTGTATTTGAATTGTTAATAGGTTGTGCAATAATACAGTCACATCAGCCTGCAACGCTTTAAATAAATGCATTGTGTCAACAGATTTCACATAACTGTATTAGGGTATTTAAAAGCAATAATATTAAATAATTATTAGGTTCAACTTATTATTATTGCTTTCAACTAACCTTATACAGTAATGTGACATGTGTTGAGATTTTAATTAAAGTTAACATTTCAGTTTTATCAGAGTAAGACACTTTTTCCACAGGGATCAACACCTGCCAAATGTTTTTGACCATATACACCACCCCCACCTTTTTAAGGGACACCGAACTAGTAAACCTGCACCCAAAGTAATATTAAATTATCAAATCAAACTATTTCGCAATTGGAGACAAAGTTTATGATGACACTACTGGTGATATAATTCTGCAAGCATAAGAAATGCTGAAACGCTTAAGTTGTAGTAAATGTTTAAATGGGGCCTTATCACAGGCACTGTTCCCAGAGGGGGGCCACCCCAGCAGGCAACTTTGTCTGTGGGGTGTCCCAGGCGTCTCTGACAGGCAGCTGACCGGCTCACACCTGCTCCTTCCAGTCCCCGGTAACTTTACCGTCTGTACAGCCAGCCCCTCCCTCCCTCATATCCAACCCAACTATGCCACTTATTCGTCACGCATGTATGTTCTTTCACTCTACTCCTGTTGTATTTTCTCTTAACTCTTCTTCTGCTTTTGGTGCCGCCAGGGTCCAGAGTTGTAGGCGAGTGGAGGGTCAGCTGGTCACAGAGCCCCTGCCCTGATATGAAATCCCATCTCCTGTTACACAGCTGTCTGCTGCCTGTCCTCCTCCAAGAGAGAGGTCACCAAATGAGTCTCTGTGCAGGTTTCCAACAACCCCCCCAGGCTCCAATATGTCACCTTTTTCTGCAAAACTGGTTTGTTTTAATCAAGATTCATGGGTTTCATAGTCATATCAGAGGTGTGGCTTTGGCTCAGGGGGTGGATCGGTCTTCCACCAATTGGAAGATCGGTGGTTTGATCCCCAGCCCTGCTGTAAAAAAAACTCAACCTTGGGCAACATACTGAAGACCAAATTGCTCCCGATGGCATGGCCAACAGTGGCCAGCGGGGTGTGTGAATGTGTGTGTGAGTGTGTGAATGTTAGTTTTGCACCTTGTATGACAGCCTCTGCATGAATGTGTGAATTGATGAATGACGTGTATATGTAAAAGTGAGTTGTTGCAAAGACTGCAAACGTGCAATATAAATGTAGTCCAATAACTACTGCTCCAACAGTGCAACCTAAGTATGTATGTAATATACCTAAAACACAAATAAATAAGATAGTAAAATAGTGCAAGTGAAACAATGTTGCAAGCAATATGTTATATTTTTGCCGTCTTTTTTAAGCACTGGATGCCTGCATTGGAAGAGACATTTATTTATACATTTCAGGTATATTTTAAAGTAAGTCTCATAAAAGTTTAGCTAACTAAATGAATTCTCCAGAAGGAAGGGGTATCACCTGCAAATGACACCCCAGAGAGAGCGGCAGGCCGCTGCCATTTAACCCAGAGCGATTGATGTCAGTCTCGAACAGTTATGCAACAGGGCTGTGACATTATGATGGGCCTTCTGCTCATGTTGGCAAGGAGGTTTCCCTGAGACTGTCATCAGGCCAATACAATGTTCACGCATTACAGCTTCAGCACTTATTAACTGACAGGTACACCATCGGTTTGCCATGAAATGGTGGGTGTGAGTATTTTTAAATGGTCCAATAAATAGTTTGCGGGATTGAATTTTCTGAAAGCTTAAAGTGTTGAATTTCAACATTTTCTGTCTTCTTATCCGTGTATGTCGGAGGAAGTGAGCATTAGTTTGAAGCCTTGCAGGACACTCTGAAACATGCACAGCTTCACTCTTAGACAGGAATCTACACAGAGTGCACTGACCTGTGTCAGAATAGCACAGTGTCAAGCTGCAGCTGCAGCTGCAGCTGCGTCCAGTGCTGAGTATTAGGTTAGCACCTTGGTCAGGAATGGGGAAAATGTTTAATTTCAATAGCTTTACCAAAGGTAGTGACAATTGTCAGCAGTCCCTTCTTTAGGAAACAATTAAAATAAAACATGGATAAGTATCATTATGTGCTAGGCAACCATATATCATCACAAACTGAGCCTCTTTAAATAACACCTTTATGGCTTACTATATTTAGAGCCTCTCTCTGACATTAAATACAACACCTGTCTTTAGAGAACTAGCTGGGAGATTCAGTTCAGCAGCATTCATGGGAATACATGTTCCTTAACATCCATTTTCAAAATATACATATATAGGTTTGAGTTGGAAAAAAAGAATACTGCTTATGTTTATTTTAGGAGACTACCTAAAGTCTGAAATCACTGCTGACTGATGAAAAACTATCTGAAAGATGCAATGCACATTATAAATTGGCTAATTGGATATTATGCAGGCAGTGTTTTTTTTTTCAGACCTGGGTGGTTTACTTGTTGCAGTCCTGTTGGAGAGTTGGTGTTTGGTCTAACTCCATTGAAATGAAAGCTGCCTGGGTCACGTGTACACAGTGTGGTCAGGGGGAGGCTATAATTATCACAGGCTTGCAGGTCCATCTGCACCCTGTCAAACAGGAGCCCTCTCCCACCCAGGACCCAGATTCAATTTCATCGAGTCAGCTCCTCCATCTCAGATTTGTCCCAACATCTCCAAGCTTTGGCCACATATGTGGAACCCATTTACTAAACTTTGCAAAAAGTATGATCATTGCAGTGCTGTTTTGCTGCAAGAAATGTGGATTTATTTTGAATCAGGTTAAATAACAACAGGAGAGCGACATAGTATACCATTTATTTCTTTATGGAAATATTGAACAATAGCTTTCTTTTCACACTATTTATCACCATAATGAATATATATTTAAAGATGTGCAGCAGAATTATACACAAAAAATACTGAAATGTTGACTTAAATTAGATGTATTATTTCAACAGATTTCATATAACTGTATTAGGTTAGTGTCACGATCTGTCTTTATGCTGTCTTGTCTTGTTTCATGTTTTATGTTGAAAGGTCTTCACTTCCTGTCTTGCCTGTTTCTGTCTGCGTTGTGTCTTGTTTAAATCTGTCTGTGGTTCCCGGTCGTTAGTTTCCCTGGTGTGTCTAATTTACCCGATTGTGTTCACCTGGTGTCCCTGTGTTTTCTCCTCCCTCCTCACCTGTGTCTTGTTTCTGTGATTAGTCTTGTGTGTATTTAAGTTCTGGTTTTTCTGTCTGTCTTTGTCGGTTCGTCTTTTGTCATGACTAGTTCGTCGGTGAGTGTTCTGTTTTGTCGTTGTTATCACCTAGCCTTGAAATAAAGGAATTGTCACTTTAATCTGCATTTGGGTCCTTCCTGCTTCACACACCGTGACAGAACGAACCGACCACAAAATGGACTCAGCAGATTATCCATGGGAGGTTGAATTACAGCATTTAACCTTCTATCTGGCTTGCTGCTTCGATTGGTGGAAGGGAGCGTCCAGTGTTCGGCAGAAGAGGGCCGCTCTGGTAGAGGCGCTCCGGTTGGCAGCAGAGAAACCATGTTTTGTTGAGTTTTTACCTGACTGGATTTTGGACTTCCTTCAAGCATGTGATTCCAGGCATGCTAGCTCCCTGTCTCCCAATTCCCAACCTGGCACCATACGCCTTGGTGGGTTCCGCCTAAAGTCAACCCGTGCTTCTGCCCCAGTTCCTGCTCCTGTCCAGGAGTCGTATTCCGGAACTCGTCAGGCTTATGGAGGTCCACGGAGTATTCAGGAGGCTGCTAAGAGGAGTCGTCGCAAGGCCAGGC